TGTTTTTTGTCATCATGAATAATCATTCTAAGATTGAAAATTCAGGACAAAAAAAAAAAAAAAAAAAACTTGAAATTGCAGTAGTTAGGAAACCGAAGAAAGAAATATTGGCATTTCCCTTTGCAGATTCAGAAACACAAAATGGGAACAATGTAAAGAACAAGCAATGTGTACAATATCCAGTTATGGTTGATATTAAATAATAATTTAAAAGATTGATGTTTATTTCTTTTCCCAAGTGTATGCTGGAAATGAGAGGGTTTGTAACCATAATAGAAACAGAAGCCAGAAATGAAACTTGATTTAGAACCAAGCAGTGTAATTTAAACAAGTTTATGAAGTCAGTAGCAACAATAACATCAGATCTTATCCGTTCTGTTTTTTTCTAGATAGAAAGGAGAAAGACAAAAATATATAACCAGCCCTCTACTTGAATGTTTTTTTTTTATTTGATGCATTTTTGTGGTACTCTGCATCACGATATTTGTTTATTTCTGACTTATTTTGTGAGTTGCATGTCCATTTTTTATGTCTGGCAGACCCTTTAGCCATTTTACTCTCAGAAGGATTAAGTTGTAGACACAAACACAAGCCGTTACATACACGCTTTTTCCAGGGCTGTTTTTTAAAGGTAAATCCATCTTCCAAAAAACTGATGTGAACTGTTTGAGGTGTTAGAATAATACATATTAAAAGCAATACTTTTCCTCTTTAATGAACTATATCCTATAGTGTACATTTACTATACTGAATATAATGTGACAGCCTGAAGTTATTTGCATCTAAATGTAGTCTGACTAGACAGTCAAACTTAATGTCTGTGCCCAGGTGTTAGCTTTTCTTTGCATGATCTGTAAGGCAGATCGAGGGAATATCTTGTTTCTGAAATAACAAGTATGAAAACAAACACAGAGACCCTGAAATATTAATGTTCAGTGTCACTAAAACTGTACTTCACATGGCGTGGAGTAATTCCCTGTGGTTTCTCCTGGTTGCCCATGGCAAAGGATCCTCCTATGGTGTTCTGTCTTGCTCTGAAGCCTCATGACCTGGTCGGTTGAGTTAAGAGAGTCACGTCAGTTTATTCCACTAGAGAGATATGTCCTATAAACGTAGGCAGTGGATGCACCACACTTTTCACTTGGCTTTTCACTTGGGGTTGGGAAAAACTTGTGTTAGCAATGGCGTGCTTTTGGCTGCTTTTTGTGTGTGTGTGTTAGAGGATTGCATCTCTCTGTGAAAGAACTTCTTTCTCTCTGTGCAAATACTTAATCATGGGCTTGTGGTGCTGGCTGCTTAATTTCTATGTAAAATGAGACCAGACAAACTGGTTGACTAAAACTCATTGCAGCCTCAGGTGTTGGAGCACACTGTGCATGCTCCCTCTCATCATATATGCATGCAAAGGGAGAGATAAATTTGATGCAAAATCTTGAATTGTCTTCACTACTTTTTTTCTAATCATGTTAAAATGAAGACATCAGGCATTGATTCACTTTAGGTTTAAACCCCACAGCCCCAACTTCCGTGACAAAGAGCATGGTTCTATTCTATAGCCAGTCCCGAAAGCAGATTTTAGGGAAACTTGATACGCAAATTCATGAAGCGTTCCATATTTTTTCAATATCCTCCTGGGCAAGCTCCGGAAGTGTGGGCTAGATGAGTACACAGTGGGGTGGATTAGGAACTGGCTGGATGGCAGGGCGCAGAGAGTGGTGATCAGC